TAGGAAGTAATAATATGGAGCTTATATATGGATTTGGGATAGGGAGTGCATTGATGTATGTGGAGAGAATCACAAGATTTAAACTGCTATGAGCAATATAGTTGGGTATAAAAGATGGAGCAAGTGAGGTAAGATTCATACCAATGCTTAGATGGGCAGAGAAGAGAAACTTTTATCAGGATAAAGCTAAAGTCTGAGCGGAGGTAAGTATTATCAGAAATACATTTTTGGTATTGAAAAATGTTAACTTTCATAAAGATAATATTAAAATTCTCAGTGTTCACTTCTTGTTGTCACATGATGTGTCTGCATTCTGAATTCTCCTCTTTTAGCTTGTATAACTTTAAGTTTAGAACACCAGCTTGGTTAGTTTAGTATACAAGTTTCACTTGTATGGAGTCATAGTGACCCCACACTGGCATTCAGTGGTAATGTCATAACACCTAAATTGTCTGACTTTTGTAGACACAACGTATAAACGCCTTCCAGTGGCACAGTGGTATGTCTGCAGACTTACAACTCCAAAACTGGGTTTCAATACCCATGGTGGGCAGAGCACAAATAGCTCATTGTGTAGCTTTGTGCTCAACTACAAACCAAAAATATATATAAACAATACCAAGGTCAAATATACAGTTTCAAAATCCTAACTTCTCTATTTAGTGAGATATCATTGAATTTTCCCAATTCACAACAGAAGTCTATGTGTCTTTATTTGATGTATATGCTTATAAACAATAGGAAGAGTTTATTTTTTATTTCAAGCTTGCAGTGGATTTGATTGGGTACATGTTTGTATGTGAAGTTGATGCTCATAGTATTTAATGAATTATTTTTTACCTTAAATAGCTTAGTTATAGAACCATTTAAATTATACTTGTTTTTGATGTTCTAGTTTAGTGATTCATGTATTTAGAATGCATATATTTGAAAGGTACATGAATTTTTGTTTCAACAAAGAACTTAGAGAAAAAGTAGGGTTAGGTAACTATGATTAGACAAGTTAAGAACTTCACACACACACGTAGAAAAGTTTATGGGACCCTGCTAATATGTTTCCACTGCAATGTGTTATTTTTCACAGATGAATAAACTGTACATCATACAAGCCAGGCATTAAAACTGTAGAATTAAAATATGGCAACAAATAATTCATTCAAAGAAGAAGAAAAGGGTTTTGTTCATTTTCTTTCATAATTTTCAAACTTTCATAAAACTATACATTAACAATTTAGTTACAGTTAGTGTTTGGGTAGAGAATTAAAAGAACAGATAAAATATAAACTTTTACCATAATAAAACTTGATATTTATTGTATTACGGTGTCACATAAACAGTCTATTGACATAAGTGGTGATTTGTTACTTTTTTTTCAGCAGATTTCAAATTCAGTTGTTGACAGTAAAATAAACACAGAAAATAAATGTGAAATGCTTAGCAGTTCAAACTCTCAAAAGAAGTACTTTGAAACTTCATGACCAATAATAAAGAAACAAAGGGCACAGCTGTTCGTTTTATTTCTGATTTTACAATTTTTAATATACTTTGATGATTTGTCTATTGGCTGAAGAACCAAATATATTGTTAGGGTAGAAGTAATAACAGATAAAATATAAAGTTTTACATAAGAAAAGGTTTTTATTTATTTAGGAGGTTTTGGAGGTTATATAAATCAAATTTGAGGTTTTTGAGAAAAATAAAATTATTTTTCATTTTAATTTAATATTCACTTTGCACTTGGACTAGTAAAAAAAAAAGATTTGATATATTAACAGACAAATTTTTAATAAAAATATTTCCTTAAAAAATTATTTTTTTGTTTACAAATGACACTTAATGTTTACTAAAAGTCTGCCTAATTTTGTGAAGATACACATACTTTAGTAAAAGTTATAGTATGGAAACTTTAACAAGCATGTAATGGGAATGTGAACAGCCTGTGGCCTTAGTCGTTGGGTTTGACTGTATACTCATTACAAAGTAATTTATTTGGATTTCGGGTCGTGCTATTGCGAGCTGAGTGCACAAGTCCCTAACGCGAGGAAGTTTACTTGGGGAATAAAGAACTTACACAGAGACAACTAATTATAAATCAAATAACTTCTTTATCAATACACTGTTGAACAGTTCATTTATGTCAAAACTCTCAAGGTTGTTTTGCAATAACACTACTTCTAAATCATTGAGTACTTCATTTTGAAAGACTAGATGTTCATTAATAAGCCCTTCAGTTTCATTCAATAGCATTAATACAACGTTAGTTAAGTTATCAATTAAGTTAACATGAGAAATTCTCTTGATCATAATCTGTATAATTGCATTAACAATTCCTCTAAGATATCCTTCAGTAGTTCCACTATAAGCATTATCAAATCTACAATTTCTTTAGTACAGTTAATGTTCTTCACTTTTCTCTCTTTATACATTATTGAACCTTAAGTGAAACCTTGTTAGAGTAGATCAGTTGACTATTCTATTAGACTGTAACAAAATCCACTTTGTTATTGGTCCTTACAGAAATTATTTCTGTCCCTTATCGAATATCTTTGATGAAATCATCCAAGACAATTAACTTAGGACGTATTGAGACAAATCCTATAATGGGGACTCTTCACTAGGAGTAATTCACCCTTTTCTTTCATCACAATTCAGTTAACTGCTTTTTTTTTGTAGTAAGTATTGTGGTTCATGAGTTACTGCCCACACTTTCTTATAACATTTTTGCTTTGGCATTTTCTCCATACTATATGTAGATATGTTATAAACGAAAGAGGTACTTCTTCAAAACATTCACATATTTAATATATTTAGTATTTGTATTGTACAAATACTTCAAGTACAAAATGGTTACGAGGTTGGTCTATTTGACCAACCTTGTGTTGAGAGAGTTAAAATATATGTCAGAAAGACTAGTTCAGTAAAATATGGTCCTACTTATGGAGGTTTGCATTTGGTAGGTGCACCACCAAGTCCACAACGCACTGTTTTCGAGGAAATATGCACACACCTAAAAAAATGTAAGATTTCTGCTTTCACAGCACACCATTGTATAGGTAAAACACTACAAGCCTGTAATGCTTGGCCAGCATGCAAAATTAATCAGCAAACTTGTTGACAGACCACCATTTATTCAAACAGTGTTGGACCAGTACAGTCTTTAAAGCAAGATCTATCTATTATAATCTGGTGTAGGGTTCTTCAATCATGTGCTAACTGTACACTGTATCCAAGCATTTGTGTTTTTTATACCTTGCTTAACTATCTACCTCTCCTTAAAAGAGTTGTAGCAATCATATACGCATAATAAAGCTTCAGTGAAATACCAGTTTTCAAGCATTAGGGTATTAACGTGCATTGAAATGAGAACTAATATTACCACAGTTGCTATCAAATATTTCAACACAGCTTTAAAATAATGTTTTAAGTATTTAAAATTTAGGTTTCAGTGTAAACTCTCAAGCTTTTTTCATACATGGGAGCACCAGCAGTTGATACTTAAACATTTATGATAACACATTGCTATTACTGTGTAAGACTGACGAGAGTTCTATAGTAACATTACTTTGTGGTTGTACCCCCAGTGGCTCAGTGATAAGTCTACAGGCTAAAATCTGAGTTTTGATACCCATGGTGGGCAGAGCACAGACAACCCATTATGTAGCTTTGTGTTTAACAATAACCAAACCAAGCTTTGTGGTTGGAAAGAAAAAAAACTCAAACTGAAGCTGTACTGAAGTTAAACAGAAAGTTTTTTTGAAAATGCTTTATTAAAGATTATTGATTTGGAAAAGTTTGAAAAATCTTTCATGTAAACATTATTCTCATTCGCGTGGATCTTCATTAGTCCATAAGATGTGCCTTTGACATATTTAGTATTGTTTTGCTTGTGTTTAAAAGCTGATTATATTCAGTTAAAAGAATAAAGTAAAGTTCAAACCACTCAGTCCTCTGTAAGTAAATGATCAAGGCTCAAAAATATCAAAATAATCATCAGACGTTTTCATCATGTGGTTGTGACGTCACTGACACGAACATTGAAACCTAGCCTATAAAGTAGTCTTTAGACAGTACCCTTTTTGCTCTATTCTGCTATCATATCAAGGCTAGCACTATGGGGGACCTTAGGGGGCCTTGCCTGTCTAGTTTATATCATATGCCTCCCTCCCCCCAGTTTTATATTCCAAACTGATATAGAAAAATCTATGATAGTTGCAGATCAAAAACTAATATATATATAATACAATTAAACTAAACTCAGATGTAAATGTTTCTAATGACTTAATAATAATACCAATAATTTAAAAACAAATCCAGGAAAAGTACATTCATGAGGATGTTTTACAATAATGCACTGTCATATGATTTATTAATTAATGTCTAGAGTAACATTTTCTAAAATATCCCCCCCCCCCCCAATCATTGAATAAGTGGGTGCCTTCCACCATAGTGCACATAAAAGAAGCATATGATATGGTGTAATGTTTATATGTATACCCAACATTTACTTGTGTTTAGGTTAAAATGTTTCTTAAAAAAATGTAATTATTCACTTGGCAATCCTTTTTACTTTCAGAAGTACATATAATTGAAAAACAGTTTAAAGAAATTTGACATTTGTAATATGGTTCATAAGAATGTCAATGTTCAGAGTCCAGGGTTTGTAGATTGTAAGGCCACCATAAGCATTTTGGATAATAATATAGTACAGAACATGCTGCTTATGTTTTTATTACTCTATGTTATTTAAAAACTACCATTGGTGTGTGTGTGTGTGTGTCTTTTGATACTGTGTTCAACTGTAGTTAATGCAAGCTAGCTGTTTTCTGTAGAAAATAGTTATTGGATTTTCAAAATCAAAGATCTTATAAACAGACCTGACAGTGTTGGAATAATTTATTTTAACATAAAGAAATGTATATCTATCTTAGAAAATGTTACAAAAATCAGAACTGGTATATATTAATGTTTTGTGAATGAAAAACATTTTGTTTTTGTATAAGCAACACTGAAGTGGTCAAGAATAAAAACAAATAAAGGACCAGGAGAGCTGCACAACCATTCAGCTGTGAAATTTTTAGAATACATGTACATCTTTGGAGGGGAGCGTGATGTAACCATTTTCAATGACTTATGGAGATATCACTTTGGTAAGTCTGAAGCAATTCATTTTATTTCCACCACTATTTCCTTCACTCTTGACATTTGGTCATTCCAAATTAAAACCTGTGTGCCTTAAAATCCTCATGGATTGTTTTTCATGAACTTCTGTTCCTCTTTCTATGTATTAATTATTATAAACACTTGAAATAAAAAATAGTGTTTATATTTTTTATTTGTTCTTCTTCCTTCTCTCTCTCTCACACTTATTAGACCATTTTGATTTCAATCTGTTATGTCTTATTTTCATCCTTTGTTGTTATTTCACATATGCAGAATATTTTATTGGCTGAGGGATCAACAATAGTTGTTCTTTTCATAAAAATATTGTTATTAGGGTGATCAGTCTTCTTTTACATGTATAAATTATTGTAAGCAGTTCTTCCTCACTTGTTAGTGCTTATCTTATAATAATATTTTTCTCACATTCCATCAGTTCCAACATCTTACTCTTCTCCTGAAGCTAGGCTAGAATTTAACCAGGTTTCAGTTGCCACAAACCCACAGTAATTGAAGGATAGGGGTGAAAGCTAAAATTGGTATTTCCGATATGGTACTTCCCTCTTCTCACAAGATTAGCTATTCTCATCCAGTACTGCCCTCTATATACAAACTTTTTTCTTTATGCGTGCCACAAGCCTTCTGCTCCCCCCTATTGGAATCAAATGGTTCCAACTTGTTTCTCATGCAAATCATCATGCGTCACTTCTCCACCATTAGCAACGTGACATACTCATGTGGCGCATATGACTCCCTTTAAACACCTCTACCGAACTATCCCTTCTCTTTTGGCAGTGCTTGTGCTTGGATGTGTTTCTTTGTTTCAAATTTCACATTCAACTTTAATATATTTGCGAACTGGTTGTCATTTAAATTACTTCCAAGTTTATTGAGGCTGTTTCTTCACTTTAATTTAATGTTTATTACAGTCGCATTATTATTTATAATTTCGATTTTAATTGACTCTTTTTGATTAGAAATTCCAAAGTTCATGTCACCACTTTAGGGGTCACACCTGCGACTAGGACTACATCACAAGCATCAGGTGCGAGTGACCCGGCAGGAGATTTATCAGTGTTTATTGGCAGGGAGATTGAATGTTACATGGGTCAACCTCTATCTCCGGACCTTGCCCCACTTCCTCCCAAACGTGCCAAGCCTGTACAGGCTGACAAGTACCTGGGTTACCTATTTCTACCTCCTAATTTTACCATGCCTTCCCATGCCCCTCCTGAGGAGTCAGTTAGGCCTACTACAGTCTTTTTGGATTTTGTTTCTCAGATATATACACCTGGAAAAAAGTTAAGCACCCCCAAATATTTTTCAGGACTGCTTATTGAAAATAAGGTTTAATTTTCATGATGTTGAGCAATGTTCATAATTTCAAACATAATTAAAAGGATGTGAGCGTTCAGGTGTGACATTTAAATCAGGCGCGTATTTTTCCCCACGTGCAACTTGCTCGCTTCT